CAGACCCCAAGCTGTCCCGAGTCCTGGCAATCCCGCCTCGCGCCTCCGACAAACACGATAGAACATACCCTGCATACCGCGGCCGCCAGACCCCAAGCTGTCCGAGAAGCCTGGGTATCCCGCTTCGCGCCCTCGACAAACACGACAGAACACAACATGACACAAGAGAACAATGTAACACAACAGACGTCGCATATCAATATCAGGACAAATTAAAGGACACAGCATATCACAGACCATACCAGAGCAGAACATGACATAATAGAAAACGACATAACACAACATGAGAAAACAGAAACGAGCATACCATAAGACACGTTGACAGCACAGATCATACCATGATACAGCGCCGGCAAACATATCATACGACGACAGCAGAGCACAGCGGCGAACACGCCAGAACACAACATGTCTAACCAGAAGATAGCATAACACACAACGAGCATGCCATAACATGACAGAGCATAACATGGCAATAGCATGAGAAACAATCTCATGATATAATAACACATATCACACCAGATCACAGCATGTAATAACGTAAGGCGATATAACACAGCATCACATCGCATAGCCGAGGAAACCATTCGGCACCTTGGCAGAACATCCCATATCATTACACTCCATCGCATAATATATACATATATATATCATGAAACGACAGTATCGCATATAACCACATAGTAGCATAACAGGTCATGATATATTATACTGTGCCAAGCCGTCCACAAACACAACATCACAGAACAAACCAAACCATAGCATGATAGAACAGAACACGACGACATAACATGGTAAAACCGGTCACAAGATAACACAATATGGCAGGATAGATCATATCATTCCACAACTTCACATAACATATCCTATCACGGCGCCAGAGCATTGCGAAACATACTAGGATAACGATTATTCATAATAATATACTGGGCCAAGCCGTCAACCGCATCACGGATCAGAGCATACGATTACATAATATGTCAGCATATCATGCGTCAACATCGTGCCGCAAGGCAGATCATACCATAGCATATCCAACCATATGGTGACACATATGATCATAACATCGCATATTCAACCAGAGGAGAAATATGTATGTGAAGAGGGGCATCACCACAGACAACGCATCCAACGTCACAGGCGTCACGTCGTCACGCCAGCCCGTCGACAACAGAACAGGACGGAATAGAGCATTACATGAAAGATCGCTACTACATGGAACACGGTTGAACCGTTTTGAATACAGAACCGGTAGTAGTGCAGTGGAGGAGAAGAATACCACGACAGAACAAGACATCACAAAACATACGAGCATATCACTGAACAAATCATATTATAACATAACTTGAGAGAACAGATCATGCATTAACATGGTGCCCAAGGGCAGAGTATAACATAACGTACCAAAGCATACTGAGGCAGAAGCGTGCAAGAGAGAATATACTTGCATGAATGAGGTAACGGACGGGCAGGGGGATATCGTAGCATAATACACCGTATGTGCATATTGGTCAGCGTCGCCACAAGAATCACGAGTCACATCAATGAGCGATACGACCATGTCTCTAGCGTGACAGGCGTCACGACGTCACGCCGGCCCGTCGATAACATAACATCAGAGAACACAACGTCACATTCTACATCGGGGCAGAGTCCTAACACACACACACACACGCACACACACTTTAGCACAACATCGCGTATACAGTAGCCACAATTCGACGGTGTCGCCCAAGCGTCACGACGTCGCGCCGGCCCGTCGAGAACATAACGGGACATAATAGAGCATAACATGTTAGAGAGTTACTCCATGGAGTACTGTCCAACGCTTTTGAATACAGCAGCGGCGGTAGTGGAGAGGAGTATTACGGCAGAACAGGCCATCACATGACACAGTCTTTAAAACAGATATCATAACACGACAGCAGAGCATATCGACATTGGGACAGGATCGAAGCGAACAAACATAGCACAATATTACGTATACGCCAGCTACCACTGCACAATGTCTTCCTGTTACTCGCCCTGCACGTCAGCCGTGCTGAGGTACTTTCATTGGAAGGTCCACTTCATTTTCTGTCCAGCTTCACCCCGCAATCATCGTCGCGCCACTCCACCTTCCCATCCCGTTCCTACTCTACGGGGCGAAAAACTGCGTCGGAGGGCCCCCGGGAGGGGTCCAGGGGCAGATTTTGAACGCATATCCTCTCCCCCCTCCTATTGACCGATTTTCTGGGGGCCCAATCAGCGCATGGCCGCCCCCAACTCCGAGGTTCGGGTCGCTGGGATCTGCCGGAGGGGATGAGGACTCCCCCCCTTCTTCTTGGTCCGAGGTTCGGGGAAATCTGTTGGAGTTTTCTGGTTCCAGAGTCCCTGTTGGAGCCCCAGGACAGACAAACATCTAGAGGATTTTTGTGTTGATTCCAGCGAATTTGTCTTGCATGGCAGCCCCCCAGCCTCTGTTTCATGCAATGCTGGGTCGAGGGCTCGCAGGTATGCTAGGATGCTAGGCCCTGTCAAGTAGCACTGCGCCCGCGGGAGGGTGAAGGAGGGGCGGGGGATGCAAGGGCACGGTGCCCGTCGCATGTTCCCGATCGCCCAGACGACTAGGGTGAGTCACTTTTTCACGAGCAACTGACGGAGGGACAGATGCCAGCACTGCGGGTGCCCGCGCCAACTATGCGGGGATCTAGCGGGCAAGAACTATGAAGGATATGACGGGGGGAGGGCTACGCCCGGGGCCGCCGCGCGCCCCGCGCATGCTCGGGGGAGCGAAGAAGACGAGGGCGAGGGGGAAGAGGGGGGGCGAGGCGCATGATGAGGGAAGAGGACGAAGAACAGGGCGAGGAGGAGAGAACGGAGGAGGAGGAGGAGGAGGAGGAGGAGGAGGAGGAGGAGGGTGAGGAACGAGGACGATGAGGAGGAACAGGAGGAGGAAGGAGAGGTCCATCTCACCTCATTTTGCCTCCTCCTCCTCGTCCTTCGTCGTCCGTCTCCTCCTCGTGGTGCTGCTGCTGTTCCTCCTCTTATTATCACCGGAGGTTGATATTATCTCAGAACAAGTTTTATGTTGTTCCAATCCTACTTAAGGACCACATCCCAGAAATAATTTCGAGCACCCCGAAAAGTGTCAAAAGAGTGTCGAAACAGTGTCGGACGAGTGTCTCCCACGGCCCGACACGTGAAAACCCTTGAATTTGTGTACTCTTTTGGGCCCTCGAAATTCTTCCTGGTGATCAAGGCTAACGTAGGTTGGAGCATCATAAAACAAATTTTGGGTTCAGCAAAAAGCGTTTTGGGTTTCGTTTTGTCCTCGTCAAGGGCCTTGGGGTTGTTAAAATTCGGAAAACATGAACTCGCGACCTGGCCCGGCCGCCGCGCTGGCCGACGCCGCTGGGCACTGTGCACATCCTTCCAGTAGGCGCGCGCACCGTTGGGACCAAACGCCGAAGGTTTCGGCGGGGATCGCTCGAAGCAACATAAAATCTACGGTCCTGGGGCCCGCTGAGGGCCCCCAGGCTGACGACAGCCCCAAACCAGCGGCTCCAATGTTTCGAGGACTCGAATCTCAGGGAAGCCATCGAGGACGATGGTGCAGCCCACCCCCGCCGCTTCAGCGCCACCGCGCCCTCTTGCCCTTGGCCTTCGGGCCATGACTCGGCTCTCTGGCAGCCGTCCGGTGAGCTGCGTTGAACCTGCCCCCTGAGCCCTGCTGGCCGAGTCACCCCCCCGGATGGGGACCTGGGCTGCTCCCCATTGGGCTCCGATGGGGCCCATCCCAAACTGGGATGGTGGGATGGTTTGGGCGCCCGAGTTATCCGGGGTAACTCGGGACCGGGGTAACTCGGGTTTGGATTCCCGAAAAAGGAACCCGAGTTAGCCCTGACCCGAGTTACCCCTGATGATTCGGGGCTCTGGACGCCCGAGTTATCCGGGGTAACTCGGGTCCGGGGTAATTCGGGTTTGGATTCCGAAAAACGAACCCGAGTTATCCCTGACCCGAGTTACCCCTGATGATTCGGGGCTCTGAGTGGTGGGGCCGAGATACCATGGCCCGGTGGTTCAACGGGGATGTGTGAACCGAGACTGAGGTCGGGAGGACCTGGGCCCCCCCGGAACGCTCCCGGCGGGGCACGGGTACCCGAGAGCATCCCGAGGTGGGAGAAGCTCCATGACGTTCGCCGATGTGATGTCGGCAGTCCGCGGGCCTGGAGATCCCGAGCGCTCTCCCGAAGCAGAACTTGTGCCCCGGATCCGTTTTTGATTATTGAAGGCGCCCGGGGACACACAAATAAATACACACAAATAAAAAGATGCCCCATATTTTCCCATATCTTCTGGGTTTCTGTCTTCCCCCCCACTTCCCATATTTTTTCCCATATGTTCTGGGGAATCGAGGATTAATTGTGTCTGTGTGTTTTTTCCTCTCCTGAATTATTCCTGGGCCCGACAACGGCCCCCAGATGGCTGAGATCAAGAAAAACCCACCGGATATGAAAAACTCAGGTCGTCAGAGATCCAGGACTCCGAACTTCGAAGGGCCGCGATCTCCCCCTCACGTGAACCCTGACCTTGAGCAGGGCCGACCTTCCCTGCAATCCTGCAGGTCTACCACGCAATCTTAATAACCGCATTTTTAGAACATGCAATCGATGCAGTAAAACAAGACTGTCTCCGTCAAAATGGTCGAACGAACATTCCGTGCGAAACCACATATTGTTCTTACTGTCGGCTCACGTCGCGGCGACGTTGGCGCTGGTTTCTGACACAGTTTGGATCATTCAACTCCGAACGAGCACGGCTTTCCGATCGCGCAGATCGCTTGAAACCTTGCGACCCTGGGCCACTGGCGGCGTTCCACCCTGAACACCCGCGCTGGGGCCGCCGCCTCGTCCACGCGGCGCGAAACTACCGTAGAACCGTACTTGCCGGGCCTTCAGGCAAGGCAGGACGCTCCGCCACTGATTGCCGGACCGCACCCGCGACGCCCGCGGCTGCTCCTGCGAACTTCAGCCCCCTCCGCGGGATGACCACGGCGAGGCCTGGCACGAAGCCGCGCCAGAGGCCAACGGCCCCCTCCGCCTGGCAGAGGAGGAGGGAGGAAGAGAAGAAGGAGGGACGAATCTATGAATGAACCCCTTCGCGATGCGAGTCCGAAAACGAAAACGAACTACGAGGACTTGGTCCTCGGGCCATTGCCCCGGCCGAGAGGCAAACGAACTACGAGATCGGTTCCAACCTTGGTCCTCGGGCCGTTGACCCGACCAGGACCTCTTGAGATATTTCCGACGCGTTGCGATCAGAGGATCCAAACACTGCTTGGCTAAGGGCCTTCGAAGCTGGTCGTTGCCGGGAGGAGGAGGAGGGAGGACGGAGGATGATGAGGAGGGGATTCGATGGGAGCCGCTGAAAGCCACGATGTGGGGAGAAGAGAAAGGCGGCCCGACGGTGACCTCCAGCCCACACACGACCTGGACGCCTCCAAATATTTCAGATTGACGGCCGCCGCTCCCCCGGCGAGGTGGAAGAGGGAGGGGGAGGCGGAGTTGGAAGAGACGGGAGGGAGAGGGGCACGATGTTGCTGCTGATGATGATGAGGATGAGGATGACGATAATGCTGCTGCTGATGATGAAGAATGTAAGGATGACGACACTGATTTTAATGATGATGCTGAAGGAGAAGATGATGATGAGGATGATGATGATGTATATGATGATGGTCATGATAATGATGAGTGTGCTGCTGATGATGATGGTAATGCTAATTGTGATGACTATGCTCATGGTAATAATAACGAAGCTGGTTATGCTGATGATAACGATAATGATGATGCTGATGATGATGATCATGCTGACCCCCAAGATGATGATGTGTCTGCTGATGCTGCTGATGGTGATCATCACGATGATTATGATAACGATAATGATGCTGATGGTAGTGATGATGAGGATGCTGAGGACGACGATGAGTATGCTGATGCTGATGGTGAGGATGATGATGATGATGATGATGATGATGATGCTGATAATGATGATGATGATGATGATGATGATGATGATATTGATGTAGACGAAGGTGATGATGATGATGCAAATGAAGATTTGATGACGGTGATGATGAGTGTGCTGCTGACGACGACGGTGATGACGACGACGAGTGTGATGAAGATGGGCATTATGCTGATGCTGATGGTGATGATGAGGCATTAGGGGACGATGATAATGATGACACTGATTACGATGTGAATGATGATGATGGTTATTGATATGATTATGCTGATGAGGAGGATGATGACGATGCTGTTGTTGACGGCGATTGTGATGGTGATCGTAGTGATGGGAACGATTAGGGTGGTAATGATGGCGATGGTGATGGCGATGATGAGGATCACGATGATGATCTGGATGATGATGATGGTGATGATGATGCTGATGCTGATGCTAGTGATGCTGCTGATGACTCTGATGACTGTGAAGACCATGGTAATGTTCCAAGCAGGAGAAGCATGGAGGAAGAACAGGAGAGCGAAGAGGAACGAAGAGGGGGATGCCGGGGATGCAGGATTAGAAGGAGGAGTTGGTGTGGAGCATTCTCGCCACTGTTGCTGTGCTATGCACTCGCCGAGCTCCTGTTCATCTTGCTGCATTATCCTGTTTTTGGAGCCCCATCCCCGTGTCCCCAATGTGATGAACAAAAAAACATGGCCCAGGCCTAGGTTTGGAGGCCCAGAATGTTAGGGACAAGGGGTCGTTCTGCAGGTGTATCAGACCAAACCGCCCAAATGTATGATCCCTAGTGCGAGGACGGGGACCTAAGTGGGGCCACGTCTTCATCATGGTATTCGGGCTGCGGGTTCTTTTTGTCCCCGATAACAATGTGAGAACGAACGAATGAATGAATGAATGACTGAGAAATCGCGCTAGCACAGCGGGACCCCCGAATTAAACTAAGGTCACACTAGACTCAAATGAATAAGTGAACGCATGAAGAAAAGGTTGGGGGAGAGGAACATGAAGGGCGAGGACGAAAGACCTGGTGGATGCTCCGCAAGGCGCCGAACGTCCCCGAGAACCTGTCCGCATGCGCGACGCCCTGTCCTGAGCCGGGGCAGCAAGGTTTCTGCCGGCTGGCAGATGGCAGGCAGGGAGGGGGGCGGGGTACAAAGAAGAAAGGTCGGGAGGAGGAGGAGGAGGAGGAGGAGGAGGAGGAGGAGGAGGGAGGTGAACGAAACGGATATGAACACGAATGGCACGACTATTAACAATTCACAAGAGTGGCGAGACGGATGCCCGTGGCTCAACTCTCGAGTGGATGAATTGGCACCAGCGTTCACACGCTCAGAAAAGCGCAACTGCAGGTGAGGGTGGCGTGGTCACAAGACCGCAGACGGCAGTGCACGCATGCTTGGCGTCGACGCGAGGCGCGCAGGGAAGCGGACACCGTGCACCCGAACTGGGAGCACAACAACACTCCAGACTTCACGGGCTTCCAAGGACATCGGAAAGAGGGAAGAGGACGAGGAGGAGGAGGAGGATGAGGTAAAGGTAAAGGTAAAGGTCAAACATCCCTTCCCGCCCGCAAGCCGTCTCGCTCACTCCCACCCGCCCTCCCGACAAATGCGTAGCACCCGAGCCTGGCCCGAACCGCAGCATATTCAGTGGACGCCGCCGCCTCCGCCGCCGCCGCCAGCCGCCGCCGCCGCGCCGCCGCGCCGCCGCCGCCCCGCAATCCGCCGCCGCCGCCGCCGCGCCGCCCGCCGCCGCCGTCCGCCGCCGGCCCGCCGCCGCGCCATCGCCACCGCTGCCGGACCGCCGCCGCCGCAGCCGCTGCCGCCGCCCGCTGCCGCCACCGCTGCCGTCGCCACCGCCGCCGCCGCCGCCACCGCCGCCGCCGCCGCGCCGCCGCCGCCCCCGCCGCCGCCGCCACCGCCGCCGCCACCGCCGCAGCCGCCGCAGCCGCCGCCCCCGCCGCAGCCGCCGCAGCCGCCGCCGCCGCCGCCAAGTGTACTCTGTATTGTTTTTTGTTAGGGATGGTGGGGGGAGGCCGCATCGGGTTCGCTGCGCATGCTCCGAATTTGGAAGCAGACTGTGTTGGGTGTTGTTTTTTACAAGGGATGGTGGGGGAGGGCCCTCAGTGTCCCTGGTTGGCTTCCAGTCGCCTGGGGGACGGGGTGTATACGAATAAGGAACAATGATAAAAAGGCCGTCGGGGGTCCTTGGTCTACAGCAGCTCTCGAACCTGCAGGGGCCCCGATGGAGCAATATGGCAGCATGCCTCCCTGTGCCGCATCTGCGGCCCCCGAGGCTGCCTGGGGCGAGGCGGGGCGCCAGGCGCGCGGTCGCGCGAGCCTGCGCCCTCGCTGCCCCAGTGCAAGTGGCCCCTGCTGGCTCGACGGGCATTCTAAAAGGCAGGAGTCGGGGATGCCTCTCGGGCGCGCCTCCGACTCATTTCAGGTGGCAGTCCGCTCATTTCAGGTGGCAGGCGGCCACTGCTTCTGCGTGGCGGCGCACCCCCCCCCTTGGAAGACGTTCGAAATTCTGGGCAGGTGGAGACGGACGCTGGCTCCTCCCCCTCCTCCTCCTCCTCCTCCTCCTCCTCTTCTTCTTCTTCTTCTGCTTCTTCTTCTTCTTCTTCTTCCTCCTCCTCCTCCTCCTCCTCCTCCTCCTCCTCCTCCTCCTCTTCGCACCCCCCCCCTTCCGAGCCGACGCCGTCTCCTGAGGGCCTCTTGCAAAAACCCGCACCTTCCGAATCCATCCGCCAGCCCCTGGAGGGGTGAACGCGCGCGGCGAAACGGGAGAAGGGGAAGGGGAGACGAGCCGAGGGAGCCAGCCGAAGCTAGGAGCCAAGGCCCCCAACCCAGAGGGGGGGAAGAGAAGGCGACAGCCGCAGCCCCCATTGGGTGCTGAGCGTGGCCAGTCAGCGCGCGCATGAACCTTGCATTGGTTTTGACCCAATATGGCAATAACATCACAAAGCAGGTGCGAACGCGAATCGTGTGTAAGAAATATGAGAAATAACAGCCAAACCGCAAGTCAAACATGTCGCCGCACTTCCTGACAGGACATGATACTTCTCAGTCGTAGCTGCTGCTGATGGCAGCCCTGCCACGTGCTATGCCTCCCTCCCCAGGCCCGGGCCTTCCCCCACCCCCGCCCCCGCCCTCTCCCCGTCGCAACAGGGGCGGCTGGGGCGAGGCCCCCCCCCTTCTCCTCCCGCTCCTCCTCCTCCTCCTCCTGCTGCTCTCGTTCCTCCTGGCTCCCCCCTCTCCTCCTCCCTCCTCCTCTCCTCCTCCTCCTCCTCCTCCTCCTCCTCCTCCTCCTCCTCCTCCTCCTCCTCCTCCTCCTCCTCCTCCTCCTCCTCCTCCTCCCCCATCCTCGTTCTGTTTGTGTCACGCCCCCGCGGCGCGCTCGATGTCGTCCACCATATCATCTTCAAGGACACGGCTCGATGTCGTGTGTAAAGGCAGTATGATCGCCGACGGCGTCGGCGATCATATTCTCAGCGGGGAAGGCCTCGCTGGGTGGCGGCGCAGGTCCTACGTGGGCGTTGTGCGAAGCCACTTGCGATTGTACTGATGGGCCTGGTTGCACCAATCTTCCAATGACCTTCTGACGGTGTCCTGTTCTGCAGGGGAGGCCGAAGTCAGGGCCATGGAACAGGCGCGCCCAGCGACGTCGGAGACGCGGTGAGAAAGGGGCAGCTTGTTCACCATCCACCGAAAGGTTTGAGCGCAGTAACCTTGATGGGGTGGATCGTAAGGCAGCCCCAGCGACGTGCTCCTGGCGGGGCAGGAGGGGCAGGGGCCGGCCACATAGCGCCTCCGCCTCCGAACGGGATATCTGGCTCAATGCCGTCTCCCAAAGCTAACGCCCCCTCTTCGTCGCAAGGCGAAGGCGCAGCCTGTTGCGTTTAGGCGTGGGCGCCAGCGCCGGGTCGACATTGCGCGGCGTTGCTGTATTAAGGTGGTCCTTGGCCGTGCTTTACCTCCGCATATCCACGCTCAAAAACTTGACTTGCCATTGCAATCGTCAACATGTACGGGCGCGCGTATTGCGCCAGTCTGGAAGGCGCGTAGAGTACCTGGCATGCTTGACCTGGCTTATAGAGAAAGGTGAGCGGCTCCGGGTGGTTCGCGTGGAACCATCCATCACTTTGAAGGGTTGAGATGAGTTCATAAGTTGCGCCCTGGACAAGTATGCCGTCGCGCTTGCGGAAAAGAAAGGTGGATGAATGGAGCACTCTGTGCGCCTCGAGCCTATTCAGGGCCTCATTTGTTAGAGACCACGAGCCATCTCGCGAGCATGCTCCAAAACCGCTCGCAGCCAGCGTCGTTGGCGCCGCGTTTAGTGCCAAGCGGAGCTGGAACGAAGCCTCGTTCAGAACCTCGCACAGCGCTGCTCTCGATCATCCTCGTGACTAAGTGTAGACGCTCCTCGGCGTCAGCATAACTTCGAATAGCATACGCCATGATGCTGGAGAAAAAACCCAACTCTAATTTTTAAAGCCTTAGGGCTCTGGGGCTGTAAGGCCATGGGGCTGGCTAAAGGGCGACAGGGCCATAGGGCTAGAAAGCTATTGGGCTACAGGGCTGTGGGACTGTATGGCTATATGGATATAGGGCTATTAATGCTATAGGGCAATTAGCGCTATAGGGCTACAGGGCTATATAGAGCTACCGGGCACCTGGGCGCCCGGGCACCTGGGCGCCCAGGCGCCCGGGCGCGCGGGCACCCGGGCACCCGGGCACCCGGGCGCCCGGGCGCCCGGGCACCCGGGCACCCCCGGGCACCCGGGCACCCGGGCGCGCGGCGAAAATCGACGACAAACCTAACCTAACCAAATGAATCCGCTAGGACCCCATGCAGAGGCAAGCTCTGATTGGGGAATGATTGGCACGGCGCTCCACTCGCAGGCTTGCCAGATCAGGTCGGCGCGCGCCCCTTCCAACGCTGTCAGGATAGCCGCAGGGCCCCCACTCGACGGCAGATGGTGTGGAGTGCTCTTGACTGCCGCGTTCATCCCGCTGGTACCTCTAGACTTGCGAATCGCGATTGCCGCGCCTATGTCTGCGAGTCTCCGCCCAGTGCCGTTTGGCAAGCGCGCGGTCTTCTGTCCGAAAGGGCTCTTGTCGATCACCGGGAAGAACATGCGCCGAGCAGGGGCCGCGGCTGGCGCGATGGCTACCGAAGCGGGGAGGGCGGCCTGCAGCCCGTCATCGCTCTGCATATCGAGAACAGCCCCTGGCCTTTCAGAGGCAACGAGCGCGACCACTTCTGCGAGGGAGAAAGCCTTGCACTCCATTCCAAGAGGGGTAGTCAAATTAGTCGTTCTGAACATGTAGCGGGATGCCTGCAACGCCGTGGCCCGGCGCATCGGCGACTACCCACGAATGGGCCTCGGCTGGGTCTGAAACATTCCGGATATGATCTAATGCGAAATTCTGAAGAGCAGATTCAATCGATGCCGCGTCTCTCTGCGGCATGCGAGATAGGGCATCGCGGGCTTTGTCGCCTGTATTCTTCGCGTGCAATTGCGTTGCCGCGGCTGTTCGTTGGGTCAGGTATTGCGACGAAGTATCGCGATGATAAACAATATTTCCTACGCGCGAATGGAACTTCGCCGAGCGTCGCTTCGGGGACTTGCTTCGCGCGCCAAGCGGGGCAACAGGACTTTGAAAATCAAGAGCGGGCGCCGCCGTCAAGGGGCTCCGCGCGTTATCCAGACATCCGGCAATCTCCTCCGGCATAGTTGACCCCGGAAAGCCACTATTCTACATCTATAACGTCGACCGTGGACAATTTCACGGCGATGTAGGTGGTGGCGACGCAGGCTTCGGCGTTGCCGGTAGGGGCGTCTGATGGCCAACGCAATCGCGGGAAGGCGTTTTTCGCGATTCCTTGCAGCTTGTTCTGCGAGAGCCCGGCGCCTCAAAACCAGATTCCCAAAGCCGTTAACCAACGGCGCCGAAAGCGCGTTCCTGACAAGCTGCGGCGCGAGGGCGCAAGCCACTCGGACGCCCGCGCCGATTGGGCCCAAGGATGAGAGGGCGCCTCTCTTGGGGCAGATCGACTGGATGATCCCAGATCTGCCGCCGCGG